CTCTCTCTCTCTCTCTCTCTCTCTCTCTCTCTCTCTCTCTCTCTCTCTCTCTCTCTCTATCTCTTCTTCTTCTCTTTCTCGATTTATCTTGCCCAAGCATCGCGTATTTTTTTCAACTCGTATGCGGGGTCGCACTTCTCGTCGCGCGAAGTGACACTGTTTAATTAAACCTTTCGAGCGCGCCTTCCGCCGCGATCTCCCTTTCCGTTGTTACGCAACGCCGGTATAAGGCGTTCGCAGTAACGTATTAATCTGCATATCATCGCGCATCGCGATGTAATTCTAAACCGCGCTATTCCCCCCGAGTGCAGCATTACACGGCAAAGTGGCTAACGTTACGGGAAACCGAGTCGTGACGGTGCAATTTCCTTCGCGTTTATATCCTAGACGAGGAACAAAAAGCCTCGCGGGAAAATCGCGCTCACGTGAGGCGGTCCGTAAGTAGACCGCGCGAAAGTCGATGCACTTTTACACCGCCGTCACCGTCGCCGCCGCCGCCGCCGGTAGTGATGCATAAGCGATCCTGCGCGCGATCGAGGAAGTGCACGGAGTCGAGGATAATGCGTAATCGCGGTTACTGCACTGCGAACGGCGTGCTGGACGTGCCGCGCGCGGTGATATTACGACACCGTGTGCACAACACACGACCGGGAAGATTCTCTTCGGGCCTTTCGGCTTGAATTCTTTCTCTTTCCTTTCGGTGTATTTTCGGCGCACCTTTCGTGCAATCTCACTGCGCTAACGTAGATATCACAGTGTAGAAAGGCAATGTAGAGAGAGGGAAAGAGAGAGGAGGATTAATGTGCTCCTATTAAATCAAGATAACCTATAATGTCAAGCACAGAATGAATATATGCAAAAAAATTTATTCAAAATTGTTTTCTAAATAGTCTAATTGTACAATAATATACAATATGACTATTTAGATAATTTTTAATAAACTTTTTGCATGCATTCATTCTATGTTTGGATCTTATAGATTTTAAATTATTTTGATTTTTAATCTCAGTGCTCCTTAACACTTTTTTTCGTTAAATACAAATTTCGATGAGCTTCCCGAGTAATTCTTCCACGAATATTCTCTCTCGCCGAATCAATTACGAATTCTGAAAGAAAGCGTGCGTATGCGCGAGTCTTCCTGCGACTTTTATGAAAGATCGTTCGTCTTTCTAATCTGTTCCCGCACGGATATTGTCTCGCTTCCATTTGCATCGCGGCGAGATCGCCGTGATGAAGGATTCAAGAGCGGGAGATTTGGAGGAAAAAAGGCACGACTATCACGGCGGAGAAAGGTCGGGTGCCGTTTCGCTATCGGCTGGCTCTTGAGCGCCGATAAAACGGGTTTTGATCCTTCGCTCCGTTCGCGTAATACGCAGTTTGCCGGACGTTCCGCTTCCGATGAAAGTTAAATTTATAACTCCGCCGCGGACAATGGAGAGGAGCGGTTACCTTAACGATGAATTTAACCGCGTTTCTTCTTGCGCGCGCCTTATAAGAATTCCACGAATTTACCTTCCGATATTGCGCAAGAGCAATTAAGATAGCAACGTCGTTGAATTATTCCAGTCTACTTATCTCGCGGTATTACTCACCTATCACCTGCAACGGCTGTCCCGCCGACCGGTATATTGTCGTCGCCAATGTAATTAAAGAGAGCCACACGAACAGTGTGGTGCTTCCAGACGTCGCGGACATTTTCTGCGATTTGAAATTAAACGGCCGAGTTGTTTCTCAATCTTGCGGCTTGTGGTCTCTACCGGATCCGGTAGATGTGTTCAACTGATATTAAGCAATGCATATCCGGAAATACTAAGAAAACGTCGCGCAAATATCATGACCGTATCACTGTCCTTAAATATCGTCGATCAATAATAAATTTAAAAAAGAACTACAGAAATGTGTGTAACTCACACACAGAGAATTATGAACACAGTTCATAAGTGACAGTGAATATGTCAATTCCCGATCTCTACTCGTCGGCAGATTTTTGAGATATGAAGTATTATTTTCCGGGAAATTTCGAAAAATATTTAGCCCCGATACACTGAGAGAAAAAAAATACTTGATCTAATTAAAATTATAATCATTTTTCGCCATATTTTTTCAAGTAAAATGGCAATAATAACGTATGCATATAAGGTTACTAGCAGGGTTTTATGAAAATATGGTTTTTTTAAGCATTATTTGTAGTAATTATTCCTCTTATAATGGTCATAATTACAGATAATTATAGAAACTTTTTTTTTTCAGTATAAGAACGCATGTGAGAAAATGTTTGACTCTTACTTTTATTTTACTGGATTATCCGCACTACCAGAAGGCTCACTGATGAGTTAAGTGAGCTGATCCTCTGAAGTACTAGATATTAACGCATGTTGCTGTTTGAAATTACGTTTCCTCAGGTTAATATTGACTGCTACTGATAACAGCTTATTTGTACAAGATGTTTGACGCAGTTCGAGCGCTTGCACGTGTAGAACTCATCCAACTGAACTCACAGATCGTCTACCATTTTATTGATAATTTTATTGATTTTTTTACATTTCAATTAAAGAAAATTAGTGAATTAACGTGCGCACGATACGATACAAAAATGTTTACGTGTTTTATATGTAAAATGTATAGACAAGTTACTTGTTCACAATATTTGCCCTTGCGTTAAATGAACACCAGAATCATCACACTCAGACGTTTTTTTTTAGGCACGTGTTACATTTAACACAAAATTTCTTGCATTATGTCTACACACGAGCAGACGTACGAGTTGCTGCAGGTATTCTGTGTTATCAGACAAGAATCAATGTAGATAAAGATCGTGACGTTGTGTCTGTTTAGCCAAATGGATTTTAACATAAATAAACTCTACAGTGAGTGCACCCTAATGAGCATAATGAAGCAAAACTCTTTGTGTACGACATATTAGCCGATCGCGCCGTTCACGAAAGCTCGGGAATTCGCTTCAGCAGATTTAGCTGCCGAGACTTCGGTGGGAGTGCGCAAAAATATCGTAGATTACCTTGAAATGCGAGCCAATTAGCACCGTCCAATTATACCAATTTATTACAGTTCACCCTTTTCATTCTTTAGGGTTATTACCTCCGTTTTTCGGGTCGATAGGGCGGCAATTTACTCGGTCGCTCTGCTAACCTCGGATTTATTGCCATTTTGCACGTATAAGAATTAATATGAATGCACTTCAGCCATGATCAATTACTCCGGGTGGCGCGCCAAAAGAAGCGCTTATCACGAGAAGGATGAAAAATCGCGCGACGTATTGCAATCTGTGAAACAAGGAGCTTGAGCATAGATCTTCTTCTGGTATTAACGAATTTTCGGACGGTAATTCCGCAAGCGCGAAATTTACTTCTTTGTGCGTACGAGCCGTAGTAGAAAATTTTGTACGTTTTGTGTCTTATAAACATACACACGCGTATCCGACATTAAGAGTGCATTGAGATATGATGTTTACTGCCAGATAAATATTCAGATAAAAAGCCACCTGTGGCAATGAGGAAAATAAAAAGTGAATGAATATATTCAGCAACGAAACACGATTTCCACGTGGTTTGTGCAATTATTTGGCAATTATTTTGGCGCGCGAAAATAGAAAAGATTACAGATTCTCCCATGATATTAACATTATTACGCAATTTTATTGATTCGTTTGATTAATCATTTAATCGATTAACGAGTTTTGCGAAGAACTTCTTTCTCCCTGCATTTTCATTTATTCGATTAGTGCGAAGTAAAATAAAGTTGCACGAGAGCCACCGTCAAAACGGAATTCTATCGTGAGACGAGACGAGACGAGACTTTTATCAACGGCAATACGATTAGCGCTCTTTCCTGATTGAATTGCCGTCGAGCCGGTTTTTCTCTTCGGCTGTTGCGAGCCACATTCGACGCTCCGCTTTTACCGCTCCTCCGATTAATTTCTCGCGAGTTTTTCTCGAGGTCGTGAACTTCTCTACCGTGTCTCAGTCGACGCGTGGCAGGGGCAGGGTCACCAATAAAACGCAAACTTCGAACTACGTTTGTTGACAACATCAATATTAACGTTACGTGGGCGATCATTTTCCGCGCAAACAAGCGGTGCCGTCAACGTACGTGACGCGATAGGAAAGATTCTGGTGTGCTCTTCTTTCGCTCCGGCGGAATGTGTCGAATAACGTTTGTGCAGTCGTCGTGAATTTTCCGATCCCGCGAGAGACACCGAACGGACGTTACACGGGAAAGCCACTTTTCCGCCGTGCTTTCTCGTGTTTTCATGGTGGGAATGTCGGAACGTTAGTTTCTCGTTAACGAGCGATAAATTATATCTCAAAATGCGACTCGGATCGAAAGGTCCAGCTGAGGAATCGCATGCGCGCGTGCCGATATTCCCGATGCAAAATGCATTTTGAGTAAATCCGATCTCTTGTGACGAATTTACGATAGATTTGCGGATATATAAACTTATGAAATATTCGAAGCAAGTGTCATTTACTTGAACGCGGTATGTATTTTTTTTATGTGCGATTTAGATCGGCCTAGTCAACAGATCTTGGGATAAGTTTCTAGTCGGGTTTGCGTCGATACTTGCGGTCAAACGCGCGCGTTACGCGTCGGATTTTCCGCAAAGAGCTCGGTAAATACGGTCAGTCGCGAAAGTATAAGCGGTGCAACAACTGTCGTCTCCAGAGCCTCGCCGGCCGCGTCGCTCCTCCACGCTCGAGATTTCTCTAATTGGGCGCGATAAGATTCGCCATCTGAAATTTTATTAAAGGCGTGTTCGCGAAGTAACTAGTGCCCGTGGCAAGAAAGAAAAAGACGCGGCAAGAAAGGAAAATAGAGAAAAGGAAAAGGAGGAGAGGAGAAGGAAACGTGCATGACAAAATCGCGACGGAAATCGTAATTTCGTATCACGCATGCGGGCCGCTTTTGCAGCGCGACCGACTTCGAGCACGTGCTCTCGACGTCTCGTCGCGTCGTAGACAATTCGATACCGATGTCGACGACGTGTCGCAGTCCTTGTTATACGCGTTTCTTTCAGGCTGCTAGGTATATGCTCGCGCCGAGTCTAGTCACGCTTCTGCAAATCGTAACGCGACTCTGTGCGCTTCTTACCTTGCGTAATCGTCGGCAGAGACGAGACGTCCGTCTAGACGCGCGCATGTCATTTTAATTGATCTCGCATGATGACATCGCGCGGCTCCCGCGAAAGAAATGCACGACGGCAGGTAGATGATTGATTATGTTAATCGCGCGACGTGAGAGCCGCTGTTGAGGCGATGTCTCAAAAGTTCAAATGAAGATAGCACGACGGCTCGATCAGTAGTGCACTTATCTAGCGCGTACACGTGCGGAGAATTCTCCATGTACTTTATGGTTATTATTGCTACTATTATTATTATAATTTTTATTTTTATAATTATGATTATTAGTTTTATTATTACTATTATTATTATTATTGTTATTATTACTATAGCTGTTACATTCCCGCTGAACAGAGCGGAGGCGATCGCGCGCGCTTTTCTTGAATAGTCCGCCGCTTGTCGAGATGGATTGCGTCGCGGTTAAGCAAAACAGCTTCGTCACTGCGCGTACATTTGCACGTGTATACGTGCGCGTTTGTTATATAACTCGCATTGACTCTATCGCGAATGTTTATGAACGTAACACGCGCATCTCTCGCTTGATTGCGCGCAAGCGCTTCACACGTACGTTTCGGAACTGATGGAAGAAATCTCCCTTTCTTTCTCTCTCTTTCTCTCTCTTTCTCCCTCTCTCTTTCTATTGGCGTGAACTTCCTAGTCCATTAACTATGATTACCTGGCACGCAGTTGGATAACGGGATTTGCTCATCGTCTTCTGACCGGCCGATCGACTGACCGCGTGTCTCGATCCACGTGCAAAGCATTCGCTCATTCGGACCCCGCGATAATGAGAAAATAAAGTCATTTGAAAGTTAGGCTTGCGAGTAATTAGTTACTTTTTTAATTATCACGCTTAATTGACGATTAATGTGACCTAATTCAATTGGAGACCGTTTAATTGACTATTGGTTTCAACAAATACAATCGAAGACCGAGTTCGATTAACAATCGATTCAACGGTTCCAATTAAAGTCCGTTCAATCGACGATTGTATGAGCGATTATGTCAATACGAGCCACATTATGTTCATATGAGCGACAGAAATGAAAAATTGTTCAATCAATAATCGAGCTTAACCGGTTTACTTAAAGTTTAATTGACCGTTTAATTTTAAATTTAAGTTTAAGTTTAACCGTTTAATTGACGATTTATATAAACAGATTCAATTGATTTAATTGAAGATTGCTCAGCACTGATTGATATGACCAGTGCTGCTCTCCATACATGTCTTACCAAGCATATACGCAATATAAGCAATACATGTCTTTTCAATCATTGGCACTTTCCACGAAGCTTCAGGTATGAATATCATCTTCAAAACCAATTGTAACATTGGGTAATCGAACGCTCGTCGATTGAATCGATTAAATTTGCTCATATCAATCGTCAGTTGAACGAATTAAATCTCAATGAATTAAATTTGCTAAGCAACACAAATCGCCAATTAAACGCTCGTTAACTAGATTTGCTAAGTTTAATTGAACGATCTTTGATTCCCTTCTCTCATATCAATCGTCAATTAAACGGTCTTTAAATGGATTTGTTAAAATCAATCGTCAATTAAACCTCCTTCGATTACTTTCGCTCGAATCGATCATTTAGTGAAGTTGAAACATATTTGTTCAAATCAATTATTAAATTGAAAAAAAACTTGTTATTTTTACAACTCTGATCGAGAAATTTTACTCGACGTCTATCTTACTCTGGTGAAACGATATTTGTCGGTTTTCACGTTCCCCTAATCGAGCCTCTCCCACCAAAATCAATCGATGATGAAGTACACAGACCGTGCATAATGGCCTTAATAGCTTACCATTTACAGTGACTACTAACATTTTAGATATTTGTCGGTTTTCACATTCTCCTAATCATGCGTCTCTCCCCACAAACAGTCGATCGATTTTCTCTCTCGCGATCGTAACCGCCGCTAATGAAGTACCCAGACTGTACATAGTAGCCTGAACAATTTACCATTTACGGCAGTTGTACCAATTTAAAGTTTTCTATGAGAAATACATCGTGCGCATTCTAGAAAGGCATAACTTTGCATGGAAGATCTCAGTTCGTGCAACTGAATGACCAAATGAGAATTTAGCTAAATGAAATATCTTTGTTACTGCAATCTGAACATTTAGCCGTATTAAAACTTGGTTGGATAAATAAAGAGAATAGAGATTGACTGAATAGAAACCTTTTTTTCTATGCATGCGTATTTATGTGTGTTAACGTTGTAGTCACCGCAGTTTTTATCAGAGTAGTTAAAACATCATAGGTTTTTGAAAAAAATATCTAATAACATTAAAAGAAAATCATGAAAAGAAAGGCTAAAACGAAAAGTTGCCAGTTATGTTAATTATTATTATTTATTAACTGTTGGAGCGAAAGGAAAGTTCTCGCAATATTTTACAAATATACTCGATCGATCCCAGGGATCACTTTATGGAGACATATGGACATACATCCATTCATTTTATGGACATATGGACATATATATCGTTTTATTTCAACGTATTTCGCAAGAATCTCGGTCATACGTCTTCTCGCTTCTGACGCCATCAATCGAGAGTTCCGCGGTGAACGACCAGGAGCCTTAAAAATACAAAACGCTCTCTTACAGATTTGAATAATTTTTCGGAGAAATTATAAATTCATCATTTTGACTGCATATGTTTTATTGTTGAAGTATTGTGCCGGCCTGTGCACAATTGGCTCCTTCGCCGAAAATCATCCGTCACCCAAACGAAAGTCCCCTCGTCGCTTCCTGCTATTTGCCGAATCGCATCGGGCGTGCGGCCGATGCACTCCTCTCGTTGCATACATACGTAACGAACGAGCGTGACGGTGGTCTCCCTGCAGTTCCTGTAGCCGACTCTTTCCTGGATTTTAAGATCGTTCGCTCGCACGCCCGCTTTCAATTTCTAGCCGCGCGCACGTAAGCCCTAGCATGCGCGGCGGAAGCGGACTCAGCACGCGGAAATGAGTCCAGGGTGTGGCTATCCGATCATACACGATCGGGACATTGGCTGTGCGACAGCGAGAGAGCAGAGCGGAACAGAGCATTGAGCGGAAAGAACAAACCGCGACGGCGACGACGTCGCTGACGATGAGAACGCCTCTCATGCGACTTGTGTCTCTCGGCCGGCTCGGTTTACGTGGTAACCGCGTATTAACGAGACATCCTATAGTCGGGAGGAATTATGCCGCCGCAAAATGGATCGCGCATAATGGTACCTAAGACGTATGCGGCCGGGCAACCGGTGCCCTCGCCGAGTGTTCTAACCGTGGGAGGCAATTAGGTTTGTGTTCTATTACCGTAACAGCAGCACAGCTTATAGGGAAGGGACGCGCGCAGTATCGCATCGCGGGAAAGTTCGATTCCGTACGAATCTGGAAACGAAAGCGAGAGCGATGTAGGAACTACCATCGACGACGACGACGACGACGTTATCCGCATGCGTGAGGCACTCTTACGTGCGGCAACGAGCTGAAGAATGCGAGGAAGTTATTCCATTAATTCCTGCGCGATTCCTGTCTGTCGTTAAGTATCGTCTGATTAGATTAACGTTCGTATCGTTAAGTTCAAAAATGCAAAACGGCACGGCTTAACAGCGTAGCACGTGGTTGATTTATCGTTCTGCATAACGTAACTCGCGCCTTTCTGAAATATCTCTCAAACAGCACAAACACACTCGTAAATTATGCTATCAAGCACGATGCAATGAAATGTGAAAGGCTTAGTCTTTCCTCTCCGTCTCTTTCCTTTTTCGCGACACAAACAGGTTGCACCCTCGACTTGGAGTCAGCACACGTTGCTCACTCCAAGAAAAAAGAAATAGTTCATCTAATTATAGTTATTTCTGAGCCAACCATATTTTGTGGCTGTTGTAACCAAAAATGGTAGCAGTAATATGCAATATAAGATTGTTAATTATAACTAACATTATAGAATTCGATAAGAAATTGTTCTTTTATAGGCCTTCTACAAGAACTATTAGTCATAAGCCGTAAACAAGTTGACAACCACAGTCGATTATTTTTGAAAATAAATATAAATATAAATAAATAAATGAATAAATATATATATATATATATATATATATATATATATAACCCTAGAATACTAAACATTAAAAAGTTACGTAAAATCCTAACGATGAATTTTACCCAACGCATTTTCATTTGTTTATAACTCTCGGAAAAAGAATCAAAATTTAATCTTTTTTTAATTAATGTAGAAAGCATCGAGGAACACGAATCTATTAATGTTTTCGCGATTCAATGAAGCTTAAAAAGATTCTAATGAATAAAACAAAATATGTTTTTAAGAATAGTGACGTTTGAAAAGTCTGGGTAAATTTTATCTATGTTTATATAAGGTTCTAGAGTTAACCATAATTTGTAGTACTTATTTCTAACTACAGAAATTGAAGGAATTGTATTCTTCATCTGGATAAATATCAGAAAAATTGTTCTTAGTGCGTGTGTTACGTTAAAAAACGTTTATTTCAGTATTTCCACATACTAGGTTTACATCGGGGAAATGTGTGTGCACAGTGTTGAGTTGCATAAATCGCGCGTTTCGGAGTATATCGAGCGCGAAGCAAGTGTCCGCGACGCACGATTATTCATGCGATTATGCGTGTCCGTCCGTAAGTAAGGATATATCGGTATATCGGCTGGATGTGTCGCAAATCCCGTGCGCGCGCGCGCGCGCGGTGCGTGAACGGCTGCACGTTTCGAAATCGTTCGCGCGCGTTGCTTTAGCAACAACCCCTTCGGACTTTTACGCACTTGCCGACGCATTCGAGAAACATTCGATTACCGAATACCGCGGAAAAGAGAGGAGGGCAACGAGAACCAAAAAGAAAAAGGAAATATGAACGACGCAATTGACGACTTAACGAGCGGCGATAGGTGGTCGCCTCGTCGGGCCGAATCTTTGTGGCGCAAGGTGCGCATACGTCGTGCACGGTAGCGCGTAATGATGCGTGTGTCGAAAGTGCCGCGAGATTAATCTGTTAGCCGTGGCCGGCCAAAGAGAGAGGCGAGAGGATATTCGCGGATATATACACGTGTTTACTGGTCGCGCGCGATCCGCGATTTTCGCACACACTCTGACATTTACGTCGCTTTCCCTCCCGTCTGTTTCTCCTCCTTCTCCCCCCTCCTCCCCCCTCCTCGTCTCCTTCTCTTCCTCGTCGTCCTCGTCGGTGGTCTTAGCGCAGTACCGTTTACTCGAACGCGATCCTACCGCAAGTGACGCTTGTTTTTCTAACGGCATATATACGTTTTACGGTGTGTGAAACAAGTGTACCTCTCTTTGGTGCAACTCGCGTAATACCTCGGGCGGGTGAAAGTTGTCCCCCTCTCCCCCTCTCGCAATTCCTCATAATCGCATAACGCGTCGCTCTAACTCGACTCTTTGCCTCCGCTCACCCTTTCCTCCTCCTCGTCGTCTTCTCGCTCTGATGCGTCACGCTCGTGTTTCATAATCAGTCGTTGCGTACAAAAGGAAAATTATTTTATTCGTCGTTACATTTACGGGGTGTATAGTACAACTCGAGGACGGGATCACAATGAATACAATATCGGTGCATTGCGTAGACTCCTACTAGAACGACGTGGCCGTTCCGCCGGTCGCTCCTCGATCCCTCGACGACCGGTCGCGTCCCTGTGGAACGAGCCGTGCATCGCGAGTCGTTCGCCGTCAGACAGAAAAGGGAAAAGACGTCCCCGTTCTCTACCGCAGTCCACTTGGTCTTTCTCTCTACTCTCTCCCTCTCTCTCTCTCTCTCTCTCTCTCTCTCTCTTCATCTCTCAATGATGTCCGAATCCGCCAAAGTCGCCGCCGAAATCGTGTCCACCGCCGAAATCGTGTCCTCCGCCGAATCCACCGCCGCCGAATCCGCCGCCGCCGAAGCCGTGCTCCTCATGCTTCACCACCACCGGATACGGCTCCTTCACGACCACGGGTACCTTCACGGGATAGGGCACGGGTTTCGCTATCTCGACCGGGACCTTGACCGGTACCTTGACCGGGTAGGGCACTTTGACGGGCACCTTGATGGGTACCTTCACCGGGTAGGGCACCGGCTTCTCCACTGGGTAGGGCACGTGCTTCGTCACTTCGACCGGGTAAGGCTGCGGGACGTGGACCGGATATGGGCGGTCGACCGGCACTTTGATCGGCACCTTCACCGGGTACGGTACATGCTTGGTGACCTCCACCGGGTACGGGTGCGGCACCGGCACGTGCTTCGTCACCGTCACCGCCTTGATATGATCGGTGGAGATTATCTCGTGACCGCCGTGACCAAAGCCGCCGCCGTCACCGAAGCCGCCCCCGAAGCCACCGTGATCGCCCAGGCTCAGCTCCAGGCCGCGCTTCGACTTCTCATCCTTAGGCTGGGCGCTGGACTCGGCTTTCTTCGTCTCCTCGGCTGCGACCGACAACACCAGGCCGCACAGGAGTATCACCTGCCGGAAGAAAGGCAACACGGTGATCGTAGTAAGGTTTCACCGAGCGCGAATAATGCGTTGCACAATCTGCTGCGCCAACTTTTCACGGAGCAGAGGAACCGAGAGAGATCGAGAAAAAAGATGAGAAGTTCGTATCGACTATCACGGCCTGAGATTCGAATTACGATTTGTGGAATAAGATAATTGAAACCTTTTTTATCATTAATTGACACTAACGTAGCTTGGAGCCGTAATGCTAATTCTGTAGGAAAATTTGGATTCTAAGAGCATTGGTAGTATTTCCGAAAATTCCCGAAAACGCGACAATAGGAGTCTAAGGTCACTGCGAGTAAATTCTTGAATAAATCGAAGCGATTTGTCGGATAAACGATTTAGGCAGTAACTGCTGCAACTGATCGAAATGTAACGTTATCTGACGAACTGATCGAGCAGGGAAGCAACGAGTATCGAAGGGAACGCTCAGTAATTTGGGCTTCTGCGTGCGTAACGTGTAGCGAAACCGCGAGTCGAATTATCAAAATTAAGCCTCTTCGAGGCTGTTCATTACATATCTAGCGGGAAACGAGCCGTGGCTTGGAAATGAGAGACCGCGTGTGCGGCGCGCTACACGACTCGGCCGAGTGCAGCTCGCGCTTCTACGAGCGGTGATTCGAGCGGCTATCTTACTGGCGCTACTCACTTTCAGCTTGTCGGTGCTGTTCATGTTGGTCGGCAGTGAGCACACTGGTACCGCCATGGTCTACCCTCGCTTTTATAGGGGACGCAACGCTCTGTCCGCTGGGCAACTCGAGCGTGCCGATGAAATTGTCGGCGGGTAGGAAGTCAACAGAAGGAAAGGAAGACAACGACGCGCTGTGAGCTTGACGCGCTTCTACGTCTGGCTTTGTCCTCGCGTCCATTTTCACCTTGCTTCTTTCTCGAAACGTCTCCGTCCGTACGATCTTAGGTGGGATACGCACTTTCGCAATGACGCGGAGAGAAAATCTGATTTCTTCGATTTGCTCGCGTGACACTTGACCTCGCGCGTTGACAAAGAAATGTTGAACGTAAATCTTTTACGAAAATGACCGGAAATCTCTCAGCTATTGTACAGCGGACTTTTAAAAAATGCCTTTGGAATTGACAAATAATACACGCACCGGGAGATATTTGCACTTATCTATAGATGTTTTTTACGACAATTCTCAGCTCCAACGATAAATTTTATAAGTTCAAAGCAGGAAATTTTACAAATTTTTTACAAAGAAATTTGATTTTTTTTTTTTTCTTTTATAAATTATTTATCAAAATGATCGAAAATCTCTCAGCCAGTATACACAGTGGACTTTTAAAACATGTCTTCGATATTGATTAATACATGCGATACGCATGTACTGCTTACGTTATCATAGTGAAAGATATTTTTACTCAGTTTTTTTTTTTTTAGAATAAAACTTCTTTGAGAAGGAGATTTTCAGTTTCAACAGTAAATTTTGCAAATCTAAGACATGAAATTTGACATATTTTTTTGCAATCTGTTTGAAGATCTTGTCGAAAGTGACCGTCGCAGAGCTTTTAATTGTAAATGAAATCGACGTGCTGTGGAAGGACAGCGGCAAATAATGCGGTTCCACGTCGTTTCTTTTGATTTCGGTTTGTCAGTGCTTTTCTATGTCTCTGCCCGCGGCCACGCCGCGAGCTTCATCAATATTAAGAGTTTAATTAACCCGACAGAGGCGAAGAATCGGAATCTCCCGGCGACATGAAAGCGCTCTCTTCCTTAGCCGGCTTTTTCCGTCGTCGTCGGCGGATGTATGAATGCGCTGGAACATTCGCATTCAGCTCCGCGAGCCCTTCGAATTTAATATACTCGCCTCATTTCCATGCTCATGGCATGTTCAACCGGCGTGTTATCTCTTTTCTACAGTTTCGTGCGCCGCGACATTTGTCGCCGAGAGGCGGATAGCCGCCGTCAGCGGCCGTGAAATTAAAAAGGATGATTTGAAGACGCTGCTGGCCTGGCGCTTTAATAGGAAGTTGTTGGAACTCGTTAACGCGACCGCGGATAAAATTCCCGGAAATGGTTTTCCCCGTGAACGTGGAGAGAGACCGGCGCGCGTTATATGCGGCGGCGCGATTTTTGGTTTATCACACGTAGCCCCCGCGGGGGCAGTTAATCTCGGAATGACTTTGTACCTCGATCTCGGGGCTGCCGCCCTACGACGGGTATTAGAATACTCGCGTATCCATGGTTTATCAGGGTTATCGGCACGAATAAATTTCCATACATCTGAATTTGGATTTCCATATTTGAATTCGAAAATATTGATTTGACTTCTGACCGGATAGAGGAGAGCGTGTTTCGAGAGGCCGGCCCGGCCGTTCCCCACCCTCTCGAGATTGAGCGTCGATCGACCCGTAGCGAAAATCGCCTGGCCGATGTACGCGATAGTTTCCACTTGACCTCTGTACCCGGGGATTAAATTGTTTTCGATGAATTTATAGTGATTCACAGGGACCACAATCTGCCCACGCACCGTCGTCTCTCCGACGCGATCCTGAAATCCGATTGCCGGCGATTTCGAGGCCTATATCGCGGCCATCGACTCGGTTTCACTCGAAGAACTTTTACTATCTGAGAGCGTTTCTCGATAGCGACCGATTGAGTATGGCACTCGTGGCTGCGTCCACCGTAGAATTCGCGCTCGAGAGGTGCTCTCCCGAGAGCGCCGAGAGTACGGAGATACGTCGACGACGAGAGCGTCGAATGATAATTAAAAAATCGATATCGAGGAACGTTAATTATGCGGGACGCTCTCGTCGCTCCGCCGACTGCGTGAGCGCGCGCGCACGCGACGACCATTCGTTAATTGCGAAAGCCGCAATCACATTCATCGAATTTGAAACTAATGACACGCACTAGAGTGCCGAGATGGCCAATTTTCTGCGGTCGTTCCTACGCCAAACCGGCTGTTCGCCGCACGCGTTCGTCCATTTCATCGAGCGCCGACGGACGCGTGCAAATCGATTGGCAGTTATCGTTAAAGTCTGCGCCGTGAAGCTTCAATTAGAGACGTCGAAGTCGCGCATAGTGTCTCCAGAACGACGTCTCCCATCGCGCAGAACAAGTATCTGTCCAATTCACGTAAAGCAAAGTACCAATAACCACTAACACTGATTAATAACTCTGATAGCCTAACTCTGGATATTCTTATTGTTTTACTTCTTTTAAATACGAATATTTAAACTTTTAATGTAGAATATATATTTGTGTACGTATATTTAATATACAGAATTATTAATTAAAGATCATTTAGCTTATTAATTAAAAGTTATCAATCCAAATTAAGCACACGACGACAGAAGTCGTCATCACCGCTCATCTATCGTATCGCGCGTGATCATTCATCAATATTCTTTAATAAATAACTCAAAATTTCATGTGGCTATTTGCGAAATGTAGAGGAAATTTGTGTTCACTGTGATGAGTTCTACACACCGCGGCTGCATAATGAATCGTCGAATTCTATATATATATTAAGTTGTTTCGTAATTTCTGTCGTATTTCATGCAACTTATCTTCGACACGCGCGCAATTTACTTTTATTAGATTTATCTTTGAACTACGTTACGCTAATTTGATTGCATACTGGCTTTATATAAGTTGTAGATAATAATGACAAATACATCGTTAATTAAATAAATTCTTAAAATTATATCGATTTTAACTTCATCCGAATGCACTGACTTTATATAAGTTGTAGATAATAATGGTCGATACGTTATTAATTAAATAAATTCTTAAAATTATGTCGATTTTAACTTTATCCGAATGCACGACAGGATTATGCAACAACCTAAAATATTCTACGTTTTGAAAGTTAATATTTAGAAAGTTAAATATTTAAATATTTAGAAAGTTAAATATTTAAATAGTTAATTATTTAAATATTTAAAAATCGAAACATTTAGAATGTCTAGAGTTAAACGCCAGTGTTATTAGTGTCGAGGCGTTGGTACGTTTACGTTAATCAGCTGTCGGAGGTATTTACTTGTACGCGCACTTATCTCACGTGCTCGACACATTAGATGTCGTTAAACAATAAAACGGCGTCATTACGACAGGTAACGAGCGCCTCTTACGAAGATTTCTGCTTGGCCGGGAGTCACGGCTCGTAATACGTCTTTATAACGCGTTACTTCTTTTTCCCAGGTTAAGTTTCTCTGTGTACTTATTGTGTCATAAGCGCGAATTATTACGCTCTGAATTACGTGTGCGCGCGCTCCTCACGATTTTAATTGCGAAGTTATTTGCTCGAAAGTCTTCCTGTGCAGGTGGGAATAAAATCAGGAAGCTGTCGAGCGCCCACTCTCGCCACGTATAGGCCGTCAGAGATTAAATCTATTGCAGTGAAAACTTTTTCGCGGTTCGCACGTTACTTTTTTTTTTTGTTTCTTTTTCCTTTCCTCCTCCTCGTATCTTTTCCATCCGGCCGATTGTGAGGTGACTCCGTAAACGGTTACGTACACGGAACTTCGCGAAGTACAAGCCGGTCGATTATATTTACTGCCGGATATAATGGACACGATATGTGAGCTCTTATATCGTAGGTGGCGATCGTGCACTTTCTACCAATCTCCCGATACTATAAAGCCGCAATTATGTAAATTTTGACACGTCGCCCTTCCTGCGCCGCTAATCCCGCGAAAGAAGGCATTTTCGCGCAACCGACGAAAATCGCTGTCGATCGCGATGGGGATGCAAATTTATCCCCGGCCACACGTGTCTAATGTCAACCTAAATGTCCGCGTCCGCTGCACCTTTCCCCGAAAAGTTCATTAATACCGACGACATCGTTAATTTAATTTATCCAACGCGCTGTTTTCTTTCCTTTTTCTCGCACGCGAGATGCGATCCCGCGCTTGTAAATGCAAGTTGATTTCGCACGAAGTCGCCGTGACATAACGCCGTAATGCTACTTTCAATTAGCGGCTCTTATCTTGGCAATTTTTTTCTCTCTCCTTTTTGCCTTAAAGTTCGAGTCACTTGATATTCTACGCCGCGGAGGGAGACGGACGATGACGCAAAATGCGCCCTAAGTGCACCGGGTGGATTCTCGCGTGCGCATCATCCACAACAGTGCAGGCAGGCGACGACGACGACGTCGTCATCGTCGTCGGCAGCAGCGCGGGATTTTCGCGTAGTCTGCATTTCTGCTTCACCGACCGCAAGCGTAACCTTATGCAATAATGGGAAAGGCTTTGGAGTCGGCCAGACCGCAGCTCTCATGAATATATGGATAGATGTTCTCGCTCAAGGTGTTTATCAAACCGTTTTCTAGTTACGCCCTTTCCACTCTCGCGACACTCTCATGTCCTTCGAACACAGACATAATTTGCGCTCTGAGAGCATCGGCCGAGAAAGATGAAAGCTGATTTTTTTTAATTCTCTCTTTTTTCTCTCTCTTTTTCTCTTTTTCTCTGTCTATATAGACTTCTATATAGTCTATATAGACTTCAAGTCTATATCAGTAGTCGTTACCTGAGACTTGTTTCACTTGAGATACTCAGATTTTTCTTCAGAGTTAAATCTTTTAGTTGAGTTCTGATTTGTATAACATTTGCATCTGTAATCGTGATTCCAGTGAAAAACTCTCATTTAACCCTGAGTTTAAATCTGAGTTCCTTATTTGAAGGTAATAACTATTAATCGTACGGGCCTTACGTACGATGTACGTAATGTAGGAATGTTTACTCCCGTCTCGCATGTCCGCCTGAGCTGCGCGCTCATGCGTTTTCAT